TGGTATAACTGCTGTGATCTTTGTAACTGTAAGCGGGGCGGCCTACGAACTCCTGTGTGAGTCTTGAAGCTGACTTCTGCTGATGAAAATGCAAACTATCTTCAGTAAAACTTTTCTTTAATTTTTTTATAATTCTGACTCCGGGTCTTCATTCTTCATATCTGGTTCTGGGTCTTTGACTGTACACCCCTTACAAATCAATAAAAACCATTTAACAGTTTTAGTTAAAAATAACCTGCCTTAAACCTGCTGTTTTAAATAATAATAAAACATATTACAGTATTTAAATATTAACACAGTAAAACATATTACTTTAAATGAAACATTATGGTAATGAGAATTAGATGAGGACATGTGCTATTAAATAAAATGTCACAATGCAAAAAATCTCACATTTAAACTAGTATAGAGAGTATATGGTGAGGTTAAAGAAACTGCAATGGTAAAGCTGAAATTTAGCATTTAAAAATGAATACAGAAAATTCTGAAACAAGTGAAAATGGTCATACTGGTTGACTAGTCAGTTGTTGAATGGCTAGTGGAGCATTTTGCCTGTTTCATAAGTCTTTACATGAACTGTAACATGAGCAAAGATGTACTAGCTCAAGAGCCTTCTACCTGTAATCACTGCTGAAATCTCTTTTTATCTGAACATCATTAACTTTATAAAGTACAAGCTTCAACAGAAACACTACAATACTTACATTTAATCAAATATTCATAAAGAGCTGATTATCCTGCACACAAGATAATGAATACTGGTTCACTAAAAGCTCCATTAATTCTCCATTAACTACTGCAACAACAAAGAATCACTTTCTATACATGACTAAAAGAAAGAGATCGGCTGAAAAAGCAGACCAAATAATAACAAGAAAAAAGAACCAGACATCTTTCAAAATGAATGATTGCAGTCTTGTAAAGAAACCACAAGTGGCCTTTGTCTGAACAGGAGCTGGTAGGAGTTTGATTGGTTTTCTCATGTGGTAGGAGTACACTCATCGTGCTCGTCCTGATTTCACCTGAACACACCATCAACCCCAGAATACCGTGCGTCCACTGTGAAACCTACATGCTTAGACATGCTTTTACCTAAAACACATTTGAAGGACATGTCTATGGTGTGGTCACATTTCAAAGACATTTTGCATGCATTTTTTTTTTTTGTTGCATCTATTGTCAATAGTGTAGAGATGTATCAAGCACAGCTCACACATTACTCACTTTCAAACCAAAGCAGCTTTTTATCAGTCAATGCAGTGAATCCGCATGACCAACAGCAAAATCTACATGGGGAAATCTTACGCCCTCATGCGAAATTCCAGATTGCGTGGATTCCTATCGAAATGCATGGATGCAAAAAAATCCCAGAACAACGGTAAATGTGACTGCACCTTAAGACTGAATCTACCTGACCTGCAATAGGAAACATCAGCGGTCAAATAACTTGATTACAAAAACAACACCATGTTTCATAAGCAAAATATTACAGCTGCATCACATTATGAAATATTAAAACATAAAGACTAACTAATCGAACAATAAAACAAAGATACATGATCAAATTTGACTAGAAACTAGACTTCAGAGTAATGTTTGCCTATGTTCACTAATTAGTGAACTAAAAGTTCACTAATGTATGAGCAAAAGTATGCACTACTTACAGTAGCAAGCACCATTAATAACACACATTCCAATGTTTATATATGAAGGATCTCATTCTTAAATCATGTAATATCGAGTGATCTTGTAAACTAGGAAACAAAGTTATATATTATGCAGCTTTGTAGTACTATGCCTTAAAGGTGCTCTACGTAACTTTTAGCGGCCTCTAGTGGTGATGTTTCAGATTGCAACCAAATTTTACAAGAGCGCTCGTGCTCGAACTCATAGACAATACCGTCTATTACGCAAATATCTCGGCGAATACTTGACGGATTCGGCGAGCACCGAGCTCGTTGGGACCATCTAGTCGAGCTGAAAAGAACCATATAAGTTCCATAGTTTTTGGTGGTGTTTTCGCGGAGATATTAGCAGAAAACCATCGGGCGCGCTGCAAAATTGCGGACGCCGGTGACGTCACGATCTCAGAAGAAAATCGCTCATATCTCTGGAACGCAAAGACCCAGAGAGCTCAAATTCGGGGGAGGAGGTCCCAGGGGAACCCTTGCCCGAACGCTAGAGTGGCTAGAGTGCCCCCTACCGGATCGCCGTTCGCTGGGACCCCCGATTTCGAACGGCTATAACTCGGGGAGCCGGGCGAGTTGGACCTCGGGGGTGGGCTCGTTCGAAAGGCCCCGTCCAGCACTACGAACGATTAGAGTCTTGGGAATATTGATCAAAGATTGACTGAGATATAAGCCGAAAAACGTGCGCCTTTACCCGGACGTAACTCCCTGACCGTCTATAATAGCCTGTATATAAGGAGAGAGGCTCGGGAGCGCGCATGCACATCACATCCGTTGGATTTCGCGGTAAATCCGACCCGGAGACTTCACATAGAAATAGGAATACTGGCCTTCAGAGGTAATAGCAAAACTCGACAAGTGGATCATTTTAATGTGTGATTACAACCCCTTCACACACAGGCAATAAAAAAAGGATTCATTTTAGTAGAAAAGTTACATAGAGCACCTTTAAGGCAAACTCTTGACAGCTTAAAGGGATACTTCAGGATTTAGCATTAAGCTTTGTATTAGTAGAAAACCTGTGGTATTTTCGAATTACTACGTGCTTTCCACCCTCATATCCCCCAGAGACGAGAGATTTATGTACTTTTTGTCTGTAAAAAATCCTCCGATGACGCAAAAATCGCCATTTTGCGTCATCGGAGGATTTTTTGGCCAGAGGCTAAAGACTACAGCCACTAGGGGCTGTCCCGCATGTTCTCAACCCGCCCATAGAGGGTGGGATCTCACTCAAAGAATGCACAAATAGTGTCAGACATCTTTTTTTGGAAGCTAAGCTAGCAGGCTCTTGTTCTGTGGAGAAAGCTGAGTAGTAGGGGTTACCATCCTCTTTTTCCCGGACATGTCCGGCCGTCGATGTCCGGGATTCAGCTTTTGCTTTCTGCAGTCGCCATTCATTGTTTACATGCACACCTTTTGTTTCAATCTAACTGCTAAACAAGTGATCGGTTGATGTGCGTTTTAACATTGCTAAGAAAATTCCCGCTCCTCCGTGAGAGATACGAGACCTGTGCGTCTCACAGGTGTCGCTCATCAGTAATCACGCCACCGGCCTCGCGTCGTTCTCCCGCGGCCCTCACTCGTCCTGCTCGCCACAGTAAACATAATAAATGGCGACTGTAGAACGCAAAAGCCGAATCCCGGACATTTCGGGCGATCTCGAAATCCCGGCAGACTCATCACGGAGACTCACTAGTAGCCTAGACTTGTTGTTTAACTACTGCGCTCTGTTACCGGTAGGCGTGGCCTCCTAGGGCAGCGAAGCAAGTGCATTCTGGGAGTTGTTGTCTTTCATCCACATAAGCCAAAAATACATCCAAATTCAAAAATAATTTCACATTTCTTCTACATAAATGACCCATTTTAAATACACATTCATCTTTCCAGAGGTGAAGTATCCCTTTAAACAAATGAACGTATGTATTACATTCAATGAATCAATGGAGGAACTCAAATTATAAATGCATTACAAAATAGAAAAGGAAAAACCATATTCAAGGTCACATTTATTTCCATCAAACTCCAGTGGATTTTACAAGCATGTGGAAACCCAGAGGACAGTCACGGGTCAGATGTGCAGCAGGTGTTGTGGGATGTTTTGTATGCGTGTGTGTGTGTCTGTGTGTCTAGACTGCAGTACGTTCACCGTAATACGATTAAGCTGGATCTGGTGCTGTTGATACAATGATGAAGACTGAGAATCACAAGGAATTCTGGTTCTGATTCCAAGTTCTTTTAATACTTTGTAAGGAAGCACTTTCACAATCTAATAATTGTAACTGAAAATAGTTATAAGTAATTATAATTGCAACACTTTGTGCAGGAAGTGAGGTCAAGTTTACAATGCATCACTGCCAGAACACACTGTAGCAGTTTGGCTATATAAATCAATGTATAAAATGAAGTCCAAAAATCATTTTAATTTTGCTATACCTTGACTTAAAATCATGATTCATATCTCCGTACATTCCTGGGGACTCTTTAAAATCGGCATGTGATTGCAATTATCTTCGCGCTCATCTTTTCTTCTGTATTTTGAAGTGTATCTAAGTGAAACAGATTGATTTTAAAAAAGAATGATGTGCATGGATAAATCATTTATTATAATAAACAATGGTTCCATAACAAAACAAAAACAAAAAAGAATTGTCCTGTTTTCAATATCTGTCATTTTGAATCAATTTGCATACGTTTTGTTAATAATTACTTCAATTTATTTTTCTTTACTTGATCTTTACAAATCATCTGCAGTCCGATCAACACAAAATCAACATATTTTAGAATCATTGGATACTACTTTTATTAATATTTTGAATTAGTTGTTATTTTAATATTTTCCCTTTTCATTTCAATAAAAACTTTAGTAATTTAGTTGTGTGTTAACTATTTTTTTTTTATTATGTTTATATGCTTTTAAGTTCAGTTTAAGTTTTAGTTATGTTAGTACATCAAGTAATTGAGTTTTCTAAATTCACCTGTCAATCACCAAAGGAATGAGCTCAATCTTCCTGTGGTCCTGTAAGTGCTGCTTGCCTTGTATTTATTTATTTATTTATTTGATCAGGGACAATGCACAAAAAAAACATTAATCTAAGAAAGAAGAGATGTCATGTGCCAGGTTATAGCAAAAATGCTAATTTCCGCCTGCAGTCCCTGGACAGGTTGATGATATACTTACAAAATTTAAAAAATTTGTTCTCAATGCACACCGTTCTTGATTCCCTAAATATAATATATAATGGCCTTCTCTCTGTACTGTTAGAGCACAACTTCCTCATTCAGTCTCAGTCTCGGGATATTTATCTTCCTTACCTGCACGCCTCATCAGCTCTATTCAGGTCTCTGTCAGGCAGCGAGTCCTCCCAGTCCAATATAGTGCTGATCAGCTTCCCTCTGCAGAGACACACACACACAGTGATGAGACAGAACAAATAGCTCATGTCAAGGGGGGCGTATATGAACAGGACGCGTTCTTGCTATTTTAAAATTGTTAAACAGCACAAGTATCTGTCAGAGCATCTGACGGGGCAAGCTGTGCTAAACTATACGCGTTAACTATATCTTACGATTCATTTTGAAGCCCTTAATATGAAGCAGGTCTCATGTTTAGGACAAAATGGATTGATGGGGGAGCCCAGACTTCACAGCAATACACAGACAGAATAGATATGTGTGTGAATAGTCTGGAAATTCTGGGTCCCACCACCATGGAAAATCAATAATGGACCTGATCCGGTCCATTCCTCTAAAGTGGTGCAATCACCTGCAAGATCGGAGTCCTCTGGAACGTGTGACATCGCAGTAGCGTCCGGTCGGCTTCAGACCCATCACTCCAGTTACCGTGTCCCGAACATACTGCCTGAAACAGCCCAGGGCACGAGTGCTTATCGCTGTGCCAATATGTTAACACATATTGTTTGTCTTGTGGCTGTACTATTTAAACAGAGTATTTTAATGTTTACAGATTGGCCCCATTCACTTTTATAGTAAGTGCCTCAATGCAAGTCATTGTAAGATTGATATTATTTTTTAAAGGAGGGACAAATGGAAATTATTTCTTTTGGTAATGAACCCCAAATGGTGTCGATTGAGCTTAAGTTGTATGATGATAATGAACTTGGAATATTGCTTTAAACTGGGATGAGAAAAAGATTGATGCAAAAGTACACACTTTAAAGGGGTCATATAATGGTACATGCACTTTTACAAGTTGATTGTACTGAAATGTGTGTTGGCAGTGCCTGTACACAAACATCATATAATGATAAAAATCCATCCAGTGGTTTTGTTTTAATCTCCTTATATGTTTTCCCCTGCCTCAAATCGAGCCGTTCGTTTTTGTGACGTCAATAAAACGGACGCCCCTCCCACGATTGTTGATTGACGGGAGCGTTTCAACACAGACCCGCCCTCGCACATGAGGTAGCTGTCAATCATAGTCTGCGCGGCGCGGACCGGACCGGCGCGGTCATTGTTGATGTGCCGGAGCACTGTCTATGAGCAGAATGGCTCTAAGCGATTGTGGTGTTCTGTTCTTGGGTGTAATAACGAACACAGTAATTTTAATGTTCCTGAATCCGAACCGCTGAAGACGCAGTGGCTGAGTTTTGTTTTCGAAGGGAATATTCCCCACGAGCAACGTCAATGCTCTCATGTTTGCGCGAATCATTTCACACACCAGACTGCTTTATAAACGAGGGTCAGTATAAAGCTGGATTTGCTAAGAAGCTTTGCTAAAAAGGATCGGTACCAGATATTCGTGTTCCTGCTGAACCTCCAGAAGAACGGAAGTGAGTGAAACGTTTTATTAAACTTTATATTAATATATTAATCTTTGCAAATCGCTAGCTGCACGCTTCACAATGAATGCGTCTAAGGTTTACACTCAGTCAGGGTACATTACGGCATGTTTTCTATGTATGACGTTCTCAATATAATTCATAATTCCACGTTTATACTGAACAACGCGTTATGGTTATTGTGTTATTGTGTTACAAACGGTGTACACAGAACAGAGGGGCGGAGTGAGCGCAGCTCATGATCATTTAAAGGCATATGCACTGAAACGGCGTGCTGAAAACAGCTGTTTTTGACCAGGTAAAATAAGTGTTTTCTTACAATACTAATGAGAATTTTTAATTAAAGTATATTACAAACTTTTAATTTAGACCCTAAAGAATCATATTAGCTTGTACAAAAATGGCATTATATGACCCCTTTAAAGTCATTTAAAACTATTTGTTAAAACAAGCTTATATTCAGATGGAACAGGGTTTCTGCCGGTCTATAAAAGTTCTTAATTTGCCCTTATTAAGGCCTTAAAAAGGTCTTAAATCAGAGCAGAAATCTTACATTCAGAAGGTTATGGCATTAAATGTTGCATGCAGTACAAAAAATAAATATCTTCCTCTGTTTTTTTGTCCTGTTTTCTAATACAAATATCATTCAAGCTATTTTTTACTTTTGTAAAATGATTTAAAAAGTAATGGATATTTGTTATGAGTTGTATTTTCATAGCCTGGGAAAACCCAGACAACTTCCGGCAAATTTAGATTTGCTCTGAAAGTTAGTCTGGCAAAGAGCTCATTCAAGCCCACTTCCAATCCGCCGAAATCGAGGCACCAATCAGAAACGTTGGGGCGGGCTTTACACGATGACGACAGCGCTGGGATTTTGAAGCAGATTTTGTAGCCTACATTACAAAGATGGATGCCGCCGTCGAACATCACTCGTTCGCATCAGCTATCACGTCTGTTTTAAGCGATTTGAACGTTTCCTTTTTGTTAAAAACCGAGCAAAGAACAACACTCGGAGATGTGTCTCCGCCGCTCTGCATACGTCATCTCCTGCATCGCTCTGATTGGGTTTAGGTCTATCCGCGACGTCCGTTGGTGACGCCCCTCTGGAAATGATTTGTCTATGACGCTTTGCCAGACCATAACTCAGTTACAACTGAGAATGGTCTGGTTTTAACCAGGCTAATATTTTCAAGTAATGGTAATACAACTCATGTCATTGTGTTTCTCCCTAGACATTTACATTTAAAGAACATATTGTGTTCCCTTTAATTTAGTCAAAAAAGTCTTAAATGTACCTTCATAAAGCCTGCAGACACCCTGTGAAAGCTGTTTCTGCTACTATATGCTGCTAGTCAAATAAATGAGTTAAAAGTCTGTCTTTTTATATCATTATCTGCCCTTAGCAACCAGTAACACAGCAACAAGTTTAAAACCGTACTGAATGTCTTCTGCTTGTAAAGCATCTATCAGACTACATGAGAAGTGCACTGTGCAGACAGACTTCATTAACATGTTCAGAGAGATCGATCACATACTTGCCACACTTCTCACATTCTTCAACAAACATGTTCCCGTGCAGCTCCGACAATCGATCCCTAGCAGATACAGAGAAATAAACAAACCCAATAAGACCAGAATAATGAGAAATGAATCATAATTCATATTGAGAGAATGGAGCTATAACAGAAAAGATGACAATCCCATCATTCGTATACACATCACAGATTTTGTAGTAGTTTTTATTTTAATATTTTCATTTAATTTTAATTAAAGTTTTAGTATCTTTTTGTCTTTGTCATTTCTATATATATATTTTTTATATGTCTATATACAGGGGGAGATCTACTGAAATAACACTGCCACCTCAGATTTATCCTAGTATCAAATTTGAATCTAAGCAGTGTTTTTGTACCTGTAATCAATGTAATGAAATAAAAAAGATCACACGTCTTTCTAGAAGTTGCATTTGCGGGCTGCACTCACTGTGTAATCGACTTCCTTAACAGATGACTCTCATGAACCGGTTCTTTTTGGTGACTCAAAAACATGTAGTGCAACCAGTGTAGCCTAATTCACAAACATATGGACTGTTTTTTCACTTGTTCGTGAATCAGAACTCAGAGGAGAAATCTAACGCCACCCCATTCACAACACTTCTCGTTCTTTATTTTGACCTGTGTTGTGTACCTTAACTATTTTTCGCATGACACATGGATTCTGACTGCGGATGGATGGATGGATGGATGGATGGATGGATGGATGGATGGATGGATGGATGGATGGATGGATGGATGGATGGATGGATGGATGGATGGATGGATGGATGGATGGATGGATGGATGGATGGATGGATGGATGGATGGATGGATGGATGGATGGATGGATGGATGGATGGATGGATGGATGGATGGATGGATGGATGGATGGATGGATGGATGGATGGATGGATGGATGGATGGATGGATGGATGGATGGATGGATGGATGGATGGATGGATGGATGGATGACAGACAGACAGACAGACAGACAGACAGACAGACAGACAGACAGACAGTATTATTAATAAAACAACTCTTCTTTATGTAGTAATGATAAACCTACTCTAAAGAGCTCAGAGGCATGAGGAATCTGGTGATGTGTTTAAAAGGCAGTGTCTTGGTGCCCTGGATATTGATATTTAGTTTTTTTATATATATTATTTAAATAGTACGGACGATAACTTTGTGGTAATGCAACTGTTTTGCATAATTATGGATGGTCAAGCCATAAATCCACAGGAACTGTGGATGGATGCTTTCTTCTGTCGCAACCTCTCACAGTCCTCATGCCACCATAAAACGTTTTCTAAATCAGCATAAGTTTTTATTTATTTTTATTTCAGTTTCAATATTAGTTACTTTAGTAGTACATCAACTAACTTCAACACACACAAAAAAAAAAAAAATTGCAAATGTTGGCAACTAACTGCACTAAAACAAGTTGATTTTAATTACTTTTTAATTTATTTTTTACAATTTAATTATTAAGAAAATAACTTTATTTTAACTTTAATAGCATTAATGAAAAATACAATATATGAAGACTGAGGGCTTTTAATTAAGTCTGCCTGAATATAACGGGAAATTCATCATGTCAATATGCTAAATTCAACATTACCAGCGTCAACTCATCTGCCCAGAACAAGACATGCTAATTGCGTTCGCTTACGGGAGGGGAAAATTACAAGAGCTAATCAACATGACACATCTGAAATCACACACAGGACAGGGGTCAAAACTTTAATCAAAACGGTATGAGAGAGAAGTGAGACCTGCATGAAGCCAGCCAATCAGATTGCAGCTTTTTTGAGAAAGCTTTTGCTATTTTTGTGTGCAATATCCGTTAGGTTATTACCTGGGGAAGCCGGAGCGCAGGTGAAGGCCGTCTACGTTCTGGCTGATGAGGTATTTGAGGTGTCCTGTCCTCTGCAGCTGCAGCAGAGACATGTGAGTCACGCTGGGACGCGCCGCCTCAAACGTGGTGTTAAAGTGAGGCGTCTCGCCTCTCTCCTCCATCGTCCACACTCCGTTAGGACCTCTGATAATCACACATCACAAACATGCCTTTGTTGAAATACAGCCTCTTGTCTTTAATTTCAGTGAGGAGTAGTAACATACTGTTACTTTCAAAACTTAAAGCATTTGGGTAAAAACTGCAAACAGGTCTACTGAAATCTGTACACAATGAACACATTAACATACAAACATTAATCTGTGAAGTGCATCTATGCTCCCATTCAAAAGTTTGGCAACAGTAAGTTTTTTTAGTTTTTTTTTTATTAATACTTTTATTCACCAGTTGATCAAACGGGACAGCAAAGACATTTATAATATTACAAAAGATTTCATATTTTCTTATCTTATGAACTGTTTTCTATGGAAGCTTGTTTCCGCCACAGTATGAAAAATAAAAAAGGTAATTGCGACTTTTTATCTCACAATTCTGACTTTTTTTCTCACAATTGCGAGTTTACATCTCGCAATTCTGACTTTATTTCTCAGAATTGTGTGATATAAAGTCAGAATTGCGTGATATAAAATCGCAATTGTGTGATATAAAGTCAGAATTGCGAGATATAAAGTCGCAAATTGCAGGTTATAAAGTCAGAAATGCGTGATATAAAGTCGTAATTGCGTGTTGTAAAGTCAGAATTGTGAGATATAAACTATTCTGAGGAGAAAAAAGTTAGTCTTTTTTTTCTTAGAATTGGCCTGATAACTCGTAATTGCGAGTTTATATCTCACAATTTTGAGAAAAGATGTCAGAATTTTGAGGTATAAACTCGCAATTATGTGTTATAAAGTCAGAATTGCGAGATGTAAACTCGCAATTGTGAGAAAAAAAGTCAGAATTGTGAGATAAAAAGTCGTAATTCTGTCTTTTTTTCTCGCAATTGCGACTTCATAATTGCAACTTTATATCTCGCAATTGCGACTTTATTTCTCAGAATTGCGACTTTATATCTCGCAATTGCGACTTTATTTCTCAGAATTGCGACTTTATATCTCGCAATTGCGACTTTATTTCTCACAATTCTGACTTCATATCTCGCAATTGTGAGATAAAAAGTCGCAATTATTATTATTATTTTTTTATTCAGTGGCGGAAACAAGCTTCCATAGTTTTCAACACTGACTATAATCATAAATGTTTCTTGAGCAGCAAATCAGCATATTAAAATGATTTCTGAAGGATCATGTGACACTGAAGACTGGAGTAATGATGCTGAAAATTCAGCTTTGCATCACTGACATAACTTATACAAAATATAAAGTAATATTACAGATTGTAAATTTTTGAATGGTACTGCAACACCAAAATCATGGGTTTGAATCCCGGATAATCAATAAAACAAACCAATAAAATACCATAACTTAGTTGAAATGCAATGTAATTTGCATAAAAGCATCTGCCAAAGGGATAAATGTAAATTATTCCAGAATTTTGTTTTTAGGTGTAGGGTTTGAAAACAGTTATATAAAACTACAATCCGGCTGTATTTGTTCCAGGAAACCTTGCCTTACATTATAAGTGAACTTGAGGGGGAAAAACAAAATGATTCTGGATTTCCACAACCCTTATTCTCCGGTCTGATCCTCTCTCCCTCTGTGATTCAGTAAGCACTGACGAGCTGAGCTGCTGGGAATCTCAGATGACAAAGATGGGCTTTTAGTTATCACAGAGAACAGCAGGAGGTTCCTGTGCTTTATAATGACTGCAGATGGAGTTACTAAGAGGAACGACTCAAAAGTTCACTTAAACAAGCACTTGCGGGGAGAAATCTTGCTCTTGTGCACTAGGGAATTTGCATTAACACACACACACACACACAACAGCCAATCCTTCTGAAATCCAGTTACCAGTGCCTTCCTAGTTACACGCATGCAGTAGCTTTTTCCTGCCTGGCTTATCAAAAGTTTTCTGTTCTTACTAAACTTGGATAAGCTCTTACAAGTACTGCATAAACCCCTAAATAAGTCCTAGCCAGGCTTTAGGCTATTGATCAAAGTCTAGTACACACTGCAGCTTATTCTGGCCAAGAACCGCCCGCTTAGACAGAAAGAGGGCGTCTGACTGACATGTAAACCGTCAAACAAAGTTAGGTTTTCCACACCAGCAAAGCTGAATAAACAGGCCAGTGTTGAGAACAGGAGGCGATATAGCTGTGCAATCTGGGAAATGTAATGAGATTCTAGTGCACTGGGTAGGGTTGCACCCGACGTTCGTAAGTTCTTTCTTAAATTGGACCGTAAAGTCCATACTAGAGGCTTAGTAACTACTAGCTAGTTTGTCACTAACTCTGTACTTTATTCCGTTGCACCATTTGTTCTTAAGGCAGAATGTAGCTAATAGGTCGTAAGACATTTACCCTCAATGATTCAATAGCAGCCTTCAAATATGTGTTTAAATGCTGTGGATTTCATTCTAACTTCTTTTGCCTCACATACCGTATCTAACGGTAAAGTTTCCATTAAATACGATACTTAATCATGAGTACCTTAAGTGTTTTTATATGAAAATAACATTCAGAAACTGTATTTGAAATGAAATTAATAAGGATAAATAAATAAGTACTGATACGTTTCTTCTTTTACATGCACAACACAGAGAGATGGGAGAGATGCACACAGCGGTGTGCCGTAGGACCGGTTAGTGTTGATGAGCCGCTAACAAACTAATCTATTCACACAATGTTCTCTTTTTTTGTCAGGATTATCATATAGGTCTAAAGAATTGAAGTCTGCCAGGTAAAAGAAGAGCTTATTGATGCAGTTCAATCTGTCTGCTATTTTACTCCAACCGTTACTCCAGATCGCAGGCTTGCGTAAATAAGTTTAAAGGTGCAACGCAAAAATATTTAGTAGTGCTAAAGTTGTAACTTAGCGCCCATTTACGTCAAAACTAGGCTAAGTTGTAACTGGTGCAACTGCTGTTTAAATGAATATGCTTGCAGAAAATACCAGAGTGAGTTTTGTCTCAAAAATATGAAGCAGCACAACTGGTGTCAACACTGATAATAATAAAATAAAATGTTTCTTGAGAAGCAAATCAGCATATTACAATGATTTCTGAAGGATCATGTGACACTGAAGACTGGAGTAATGATGCTGAAATATTATTCAATTGTAATATTTTTCAAATATATATATTTTACTGTATTTTTGATCAAAGAAATGCAGCTTCGGTCAGCATAAGAGACTTTCAAAAACATTAAAGGAGCTGTATGTAAGAAATGTATTTCAATTAATCATAAAATTACCCTGAAATGTCACTAGACATTAAGAAATCATGTACATTTCAAATACTTCTATCACTGACAACAGTAGTCTGGCCAGGATATCGTCATTTAAATAGTGCAGTTGCAGCCCTCAACTGATATTGATGTTGTCATGTTGTGTTTTGGTCTGATGCTCCACCCTCCACCTATCTACCAATCACGAAGTCAGTAGTGTTGCGGCATCCGGGTTGCCAGCTCTGCTCTAGTTACCACAGCTGCAGCTCGTCATGTTCCTGCTGGATCCTGCAGCCGATCTGGCAACCTCGAGTCAGGGAGGAGGGGGAGGGGGATACACCACTCTACAGTAATTTGACAGTGATTGCAGTACTAGTTTTGGCCACAATATTACATACAGCTCCTTTAAAAACTGATCTCAAACTGTTACTTAAAAAAAATTCAAACTTCTACTTTTTTTTTATTACGTCTAGTTTTGATTAAAAACATTTTTAGCTAAATAACTCAACACTGCTGCAAATGGCTGATGCCTTTATTCATGACTTACAGTCTATGCTTACAGTGCATTCAAACAACACATTTCATCAATGTCCCTTGGGAATTAAACTCCCTTTGCATTCCACTGACAAATCTATTTTGGTTCAGATTACATGAGGTGAATAAATGGTGACAGAATTGTAAATTATTTCAAGTGAAATATTGCCTTAAGTGTTTTTTGTGCTCCTGACAGAAGCATCCCCTCTGAAAATAGTCTGTCAACAAGATTTGATAGACGGGTGTTCTTATGAAAATTTCATATAAGAGAACACTTGGGAATCTTTTTAAAAATTGAACCAATTATGTAATCATTGAGATTGTTGTAGTTAAATTGATTGACTGATTTATGTATTTATGGTTTTTTATGGCCTTGACAGTGTGTATGTACCTATAACATAGGTATTGTCTGTGTAATGTTTTGTTAGCTTTGTCCTGTCTGGGGGACTACGGATAAAAAAAAGCCTTTGGCTAAATCCGGTACAATTCATGAAATGGAAATTTTACGTTAAAAATTGTGCATGGTCCCTTCATAAATAAAAAAAAAGAAATAAAAAAAGTAATTTTTGATTTCTCGCTGACGTTTGATAAACAGATAAAAACTGTGGTTCGGAACTGCTTTTTTTAATTTCAGGATAATAGCCAAATTAAAATCGATTCTCTCAACATGTGATTTTGAAAAAATAATTCATTCTTTTATCTTCTCACGGTTAGATTACTGCAATTCCATTTACCTTGGGATTTGTCATTTGCATATCGCACGTCTCCAGTTAGTTCAAAATGCTGCTGTAAGATTGCTAATGAATGCAAAGACGACAGATCATCATATCACTCCTTTGTTATCCTCATTGAGCTGGTTACCAGTACAATATAGGATTCATTATAAGATTTTTTTATATGTTTTTAAAGCAGTTTATGCTATGGCTCCAGAATACTTTGTGAAGCTCATTAAGCCTTATAAGGTATATATATCACTAAGATCCTCAAATAAGCTCCTGTTAACTATCCCACGAGTAGGTCTGAAATCCAAGGGTGATCGTGCTTTCGCTGTTGCTGGTCCGAGATTATGGAACGACTTACCCTTTTTTGTAAGATCTTCCCCAACATTAAATATTTTTAGGTTTCGTCTAAAGTCTCACTTGTTCTCTCTTGCATTTTAAGTCACTCTTTTAATGGGTGTTGTACTTTTTTATTGTTTATCTTATTTTTTTTGTTCTCGATCATTTGTTACGTAGAGCTGTTTTGATTTAGATCATTTGTAATGAACAGC